GCTTGCCTTAGCATATACATTTCCAAGCGATTAAGTTTTTGGTGCCGTTGCTGGGGATTGGCAACTGACGGAATATTTATTTTTTGCCATAACAAGTTTTTCTTGTCACTTTTTATTAACTTAGTTTAATGTGTTTCTTTTCTTTCTTTTTTCTTTTGAATGATTTATCGTTGCACGACCCTGAGATCTACTGTAAACCATTAGAGTCATTCGCCCTGAAATTGAACAATCGTTCAGACAAAGGCGACGTATCCAACGAACTTGAGAGTATATGAACCAACTACAATTTCAAGGTAACAATATGGGAGATCAGGTAGATCCTGATATAGCGACAAATAATTTTCAAAGAGAATTTGCATGACCACGAGCAATACGAGATCACTTGAACCCAATTCTTGACGATCTAAATCCAGGCATCATGGCACATGAAATACAAGCAACCCATTTTGAGCTTAAACCGGTGATGTTTAACATACTAAATTCCATCTGTCAATTTGATGGATCACCTAATGAGGATGCTAGACAACATATTCATGCCTTTCTTGAAGTGTGTGATTCATTCTGACAACAAGGAGTTCATGAAGATGCGCTAAAGCTTAAACTTTTCCTTTATTCCCTACGTGATATAGAGATAGCTAGGCTTAGTGGAGTTCCTTCAAGCTCAATTGAATCTTGGGCAGATTTATGCAAGAGTTTACTACTTCGATACAATCCACCCATTATGAATACATAACTACACAATGATAATGCCAATTTTCGCCAAGGTGGTGACAAATCAATGTACGAGTGTTGGGATAGGTATAAAAGTCTATTTCGCAAGTGTGTAAACCATAGATTTCATGACTGGACTCAAGTCATGATGTTCTACAACGGAGTTAATGCACCTACTCGAATGATGTTGGACGCATAAGCAAATGGTACTTTACTTGACAAATCACCCGAGGAAGCCTTTGATATCCTCGATAGGATAGCAAATAATGACTATCAATTCCTGACTACAAGGCTGGAAATGGTAGAAAAGTATCTAGAGAATATGAAATTGAGGGTAAGGATTCAGTAGCTGCTCAACTTTCTTCCATAACTAATATGTTGAAAAATTTGTAGCTTCCTAATGAGGTGAGAGAAGTCAAATCAACCAGTAATGTATGTATATTTTTTCACGGCAACCATCATGAGAGTGAATATCTAGAAAACCATGAGTCTACCAATTTTGTGAGCAACTACAATCGAAGCAAGAATAACCTCTACTCGAATACATTACAATCCTGGATGGCGACAACATCTAAATTTTTCATGGGGTAATCAAGGGACCAATGACAATCAGGCAACAAATTATAATAGGCCACAACATAATAACTTGGAACATCAACATTTTCAGAATCAGCATCATCAGACGCCCTGATAAAACACTAAAGATACATCTTCTTCCTCTAATATCAACTATAATTCTAACTCCTTGGAAGATTCATTGCATGAATTCATGGCCTCGACAAAAGATTTCATGTCTTCAACAATGACTTTGATGCACGAGAACTCATCAACAATAAAAACCCAAGGATATTTATTGTAAAGTCAAACTGCTCTTTTGCAAAGCCATAGTTCATTCCTGAGAGCATTGGAGAACCAAGTGGGTCAAATCGCCATGGCATTACATTCTCGTCCACAAAGAAATCTCCCCAGTGATACTGAAATCACTAAACATCATGGAAAGGAACAATGCAGTGTACTTACACTAAGGAGTGTGACACAGATTAACCAAAATGACAAGTTTGGGGGAAAACAACTATAAAATTCTAGCCAAGGCATTACACGACCAAACGATCGAGCTGAAGATGTGGAACAGGATGAATTGTCCGAAGAGAAGGAAAATGATGAAGGTTCTAAAAATTGTCAACCAGATAATAGGAAATTTATGGTAAAGGCCAACATTTCTTTAGCACCAACAATAGATGACATGAGACCTCCACCATCATTTCCGTAACGATTAAAGAAACACAATGATGACATCCAATTCAAGAAATTTGTTAATGTTCTGGATCAGTTGTAAATCAATGTACCTTTACTTGAAGCCATCGAGCAGATGTTTTCCTATGCTAAATTCCTAAAAGACATTGTCAAAAAGAAGAGGAGGGTAGAGAATGTGTGACAATAGAAATCTACTCTGCAGTAAGCAAACTCCCACCTAAACAAAAAGACTCTGGTAGTTTTGTGATACCATGCTCAATTGGTAACAACTTTTTAGAACGAACTTCCATTGACTTAGGTTTGAGCGTAAATTTAATACCAAAATCCATATTTTTAAAACTAGAATGGTATTTCACTTACCGACCACATTTATTCTATAGTTATCTGATCGGTCTTATGTGCGTCCTGAGGGCATAATAGAAGATGTCACTGTAAAGGTGGAAATTTCGTATTTCCAGTTGATTTCCTCATGACTGTGAAGCTGATGAAAACGTACTTATCATCTGTGGATAACCCTTCTTGGCCACTGGACGAATCTTAATAGATTACTAGAAAGGAGAGTTCACGATGCGGGTATGAGAGCAAAGCGTCACAATCAATGTCTTCAATTCCATGATATATGTGGACAATTCAGAAGAATACCAATGCATTAGAGACATAGACTCAATAAAGGAAGAAGAAAAGGCAAATCTTAGCTAAGATGAATTTTTAAATATAGATGAATACAACACTTTGTGCCATGACTTGATGTCTATGACACATAAACATGAAAATGGTGGCCCAGGAATTTTTTTTTCCAGAAGATGATTATGATAACTGTGGACTTGGCAACAGTTGTTTGAATAAAACACTAAACGGGTTCTCTGCCAATGACACCAAAGCAGATTATGAAGGAGAATCAGAGGAACAATCTTGTTTCCTTCATGCTAGACCATATATGAAATTTGAACCCTTAGATTTCAATGAAGTTAGTCCCCCAAAACCATTATTACAATATGCACCCACATTTGAACTTAAAATTTTACCATCGCTTTTGAAATACGCCTACCTAGGTAGTAATGAGACTTTACCTGTGATAATTTCTATCAGTCTATCCTCTGAATAGGAGAATAGCTTGTTAAATGTTTTGTCATATTAAAAAAAAGCTCTCGGATGTACCATGGCATATTTGAAGAAAATCAACCCTATCATATGCATATACAAAATCAACTTAGAAGACAGTCATAACACTTCAGTGGAACCACAAAGAAGACTCAACCCGATCATGAAAAGGCACAAAATCAACTTAGAAGACAGTCATAACACTTCAGTGGAACCACAAAGAAGACTCAACCCGATCATGAAAAAGGTAGTCATGAAGGAAATCATAAAATGGTTAGATGCGAGAGTGATTTATCCAATATCCAATCATGGGTTAGTCTAGTGCAGTGCATGCCAAAGAAAGGTGGTATGACATGGTCAAAAATGAAAATGATGAGCTTTTAAGTACTAGAATAGTTACGGGGTGGCGAATATGCATGGACTATAGGAAGCTAAATAGAGCCACAAAGAAAGATTGTTTTCCTCTTCATTTTATTGACCAGATGCTTGATAGGCTACAGGAAATACTACTTCCTTGATGGATGTTTAGGATACAATCAAATAGCCATAGCACCGAAGGATCATGAGAAGACTACTTTCACATGTCTATATGGTACCTATGCATTTAGAAGAATGTTGTTTGGGCTATGTAACACTCCAACAACCTTTCAGTGATGTATGATGGTCATTTTATCGGACATGGTGGAAGAATGCATGGAAATATTTATGGATGACTTCTCCGTCTCAGGTGATGATTTCAACTGATGCCTCTAAAACTTATCTAAAGTACTGAAATAATGTGAAGAAACCAACCTAGTACTAAATTGGGAGAAATGTCATTTTATGGTAACCGAGGGAATAGTGTTGGGTCACAAAATTTCTTTTCAAGGCATTGAATTTGATAAAGCCAAGGTGGAAGTAATTGAAAATCTACCTCCACCCACCAATGTGAAAGGCATAAGCAGTTTTCTTAGATATGCAGGATTCTACAGGCAGTTCATAAACGATTTTTCTCAAATCCTTAAAACCTTTGTGTCTCTTGCTTCAACAAAATCAACCATTTATATTTAATGATTATTGTTTAACTTCTTTTACAGATTTTTAGAAAAACCTTTCAGCAGCACTAATTGTTCCACCAGACTGGAATGAACCTTTCGTGCTCATGTGCGATGCTAGTGAATATGTAGTTGTAACAGTGTTAGGGCAACGAAAAAGTAAACTCTTTCATGATATCTATTATGCTAGTCGTACTCTTAATGATGCACAAGTAAACTATACCACAACTGAAAAAGAATTTCTTGCAAGTAGTATTTACATTCGATAAGTTTAGGCCATATCTCATAGGCACTAAAGTTATTGTGCATACGGATCATTCTGCCACTAAATATTTGATCAATAAGAAAGATGCAAAACCTAGACTAATCATATGGATATTATTACTACAAGAGTTTGATTTAGAGGTAAAGGATAGAAAGGGTACGAAAAACCAAGTAGTAGATCACCTGTCTAGACTAGAAAACAAAATTAATTGTCACAACATGAAAGATATCCAAGAGGATTTCCCTGATGAGAAAATTTTATTTATCACGGCTGTGCCGTGGTATGCTGACATATTCAACTTTCTTGTTAGTGGTATTGTACCTCCAGATTGTCTAGCTAAGGCAAGAAAAAGTTCAGACATGATGTGCAACATTATTACTGGGATGAACTGTTCCTATTCAAGCAATGTAGAGACCAAATAATTAGGAGATGTGTCCCAGAAGAAGAACACAGAGAAATTATACTTCAATGCCACTTATCATTGTGTGGAGGACATTTTGGTGGGATGAGAACAGCGGTGAAGGTCTTCAATCCAATTTATATTGACCTACCTAGTTCAAAGATGCACACAAATTCTACAAGACGTGCGGTAGTTGCCAACGACTAGGGAACATATCAAAGAGACATGAGATGCCATGACAAAACATTCTGGAGGTAGAACTCTTCAACGTATGAGGATAGATTTCATGGGACCCTTTCCCACATCTTTTGGTGATCTATACATACTCTTGGAAGTAGACTATGTGTCCAAATGGGTGGAAGCCATATCAACACCTAAAAATGACTCTAAAACCGTGCTGCAATTCTTGCACAAGATCATATTCACATGTTTTGGAACACCACGAGCTATCATCAATGATGGAGGCACACACTTTGACAATAAATTAATTGCCAAGGCACTGAAAAGATATAGAGTACGACATTGGATAGCCATGGCAATCGCCCCCAGACTAATGGACAAGTTGAAGTCTCTAATCGGGAAATCAAACAGATCCTTGAGAAAGTGGTCAACCCAATCCGAAAGCACTAGTCACCAAAGCTAGATGAAACACTATGGGCCTATCACACAACATTTAAGACACCTCTAGGAATGCCCCCATTCAAACTCGTCTACGGTAAGGAGTGCCATTTGCCTATTGAACTTGAATATAAAGTTTATTGGGCCATCAAGAAATTGAACATGGATGCTCAGCTTGCTGGAGAAAGAAGACTCATGGAGCTGAACAAAATGGATGAATTCAGAGCTCAAGCTTACAAAAATGCATGCATATACAAAAAAAAAAACAAAACGATGGGATGACAGAAACATTGTGCCTAGGAAATTTTATTCCGGACAACAAGTGATGCTCTGTAATTCACGACTCAAATTATTTCCAGGCAAGCTAAAATCAAGATGGTCAAGACAATTCATCGTACATCAAGTCCATAACAATGAAGCAATAGAAATCAAGAATCGAGATGATGGATCCATTTTCAAAGTGAATGGCCAGAGACGAAAGGAATACAAAGGAGCACCAGTCATGCGCGATAAATAGGCATCAACAGCACATGATGCCCAAGAGTTTGCCTTACTTACCTGAACAATATTCGGTTCCTCGGTAAAGAAAATATGAAGTTTATGCATAAATAAATCAAGTTATTTTATGCACTAGTTATTTGTTTCACTTTATTTTTGTTCTTTTTTTATTGTTGGCATGCAAGGTACACGTGGCAGCATGGGGTGAGAATTCACGCATGAAAGGAAGAGAAACCCTATAGCAAAGAAGGTTTTGGCGATAATTGTAAAGAATGAAAGTTATTTTCCCTCTTTATGTTAAATCAAATATTGAGCCATTAATGTCATATCTTTTCCCCTCTCATTTTGACAAAATTGCCCCGAAGAAACCACCCATTAACTTTCCAGAAAACCACTTACACTCCAACTTCCTCATCGTGTACATCTTTTTCTCTCTTTCAAAAAAATTTTCCCTTCAAAATTTCTCCCTCCTCGCTGCCTCGAAAAACACACTATAACAACAAGTATCATGGCAAGATCAAATAAAACTCCACCCCAGCAGTAGGATTTGAGCGTTTCCAAATGGCTTAAGCCAAGGCACGGTTCAAGAACCTCCAAAAAAAGTAAGTATACTTGGAGGATGGTTTTGTTTTTCCATCAGAAAGTGATGAACTATTCAAACCAGAAATGATGGATGTGGTTAGGAAACATAAATGGGAGAAATTTTCTTAGCATCCTAAAGCCGTAGAACTGTTAATGGTTCAGGAATTTTACACCCATTTTGAAGCCCCATCCCAACACACCGTTTATGTAAGAGGGAAACTCATTTGGTTTTCCACTTCAACACTCAACTGATATTTCAAGTTGGGAAAAGTGGAGGATCAACACAAAAAGTTTGTGGCTGAGGCGAACCAAGAAACTTATAGTAGATTACTTGAAGACCTTTGTTTCGGATGGGAAAATTCAAGGGAAGAGCACGGACAAGAAAGCGGGTAGATCGTTGAGCCCTTAAACTGGTGGTGAAGTTGTGGAATCACTTTCTCAAAGGCAAGCTAATGCCAACTTCCAACAACACGACCGTTCTAGTGAAAAGATTGATGATATTACATTCGATAATCTATGAGCGAGCGATTAAAGTTGAAGAACTTATCTTCAAACAAATCCACGAATGCGTAAAATGAAACAGAAGTAATCTTTTATTTCCTAACTTGATAACTGCTATGTGCAGGAAAAATAAGGTCCCCGAGGAACCATTTGAGGACTTTATCAAATCCAAGGAGGGAATCACCAAGAAGAAAGTGCCAGAGTTAATGAGTTTTGATGACAATGCCCTGTATGAAGGTCTGGAGAGAGGAGCCAAATTTGTTGCCATGGCCAGAATGGCGGCAGTGGTCATATACACGTGAGAAAAACTTGAGAAGATAGAGTTTCTGGAAAATCACATGGAGATCTTCTTTGGCTACGTCAGAGCAAGGGATGCACAATTCAACACCTTTTTCAATGAGCTGCTCTCAATCACCAACGGAGACCTACACCCGCCCCCAATGTTATCCTAAAAAATAATACTAGCGGGGATACATTCAATTCCTCGACACAAAATGTTCCCCCAGAAATACCCACAGACGTTCCTCCATTGGCCACTCATGTCTCGCCCATACCAGAAGAAGGTCACGGTGACACAGATGAATTCCTCAGCTACACATTTTCTAATTCAGAAAACACTCAGGAGATTCCACCTGAATTCTTTGTTGATGAAGATTTCACTCCAGTCCCTACTCAACTTACACCCGAGTAAGCACCATAACAATCCCTCGTCCTTCAAACAATGCCAATTCCTGAAACAGCTCATGCCAGACTCCAGCTCGTGCATAACCCACTCAAGCTGAAGAACAACATACACCAACACGAGCCCCAAGCGCTGGCGAGCCGTGTCCTTCAGCCATCTCCCTAACAATTATAGCAGCAGATACGGGATCAGAAAGTCCCCCTCCTCCAAAACGACGCAGAACGCGTGCGTTCAGTCAAGCCACCCTACCACAGTAAGATTGCATTTTAATTTTTTTTCTTTTTATATTAGCATTTGCATTCTGATACATGTAGTTTAATATTTCATGCATTGAGCACAATGCATCCCTCAATTTTGGGGGAGGTATTGTAGCACACTTTGTTTAAAAGTAATTGATGATAATTGGTTAAAAAAAATTGTTATCATGATATAAGCATGTTAAGCCTATTGTTTGGAATTGATTAGGGATGCCCATGATTAATGCATAATTTAATTTCCTAGGCCAGGATTATCTTTAAGACTATCGAAAGAAGAGAACCAACCTTAGGCTTGATTCTTTGAAAAATTATAAACATGATTGTAGGTTGTCTCTGCTTAAGGTAATCAGTAAAAATTTTAGGAAAGAACTCTCTGCTTGTCGAGACATCAAAAAATTTTATGGTTAAGGTCGAACTCCTTATTTTTTAAACCTTGAAGAATAAAAGGGACACTCATCTATGTAATGGCATAACCAGAAAACTCCATAAAAATTAAGGGTTGCTAAGGCATATGAGTGAATGAAAGTAGTCACAGGACGACTCTACCCGACTAGATTGGGGGTGGAAGGTATGCTCCCTTTTACCTAGAGTGTGGGATGGTAGGTGTGATGAGTTGACTCCCAAAAAAAGTTGATGAATAACTAGGAGTGGAAACTGAGCCCGACAAATAATTTGATGCCTTGACAAAATAGAAGCACTTACTTGAAGTTTTCTAATTACTTTAATGCATAGACTGATTACAATCATGCACACATGACAACAAGGAATCATGACTAGGGAAGGTACTTGACTAATATGACAGTCGAACATGTTGAGGCCAAACTTTTGTTGAGCGCTAAAATTTCAAACCATATGATTTTCTTAATATTGCTTTCCCATGACAATCCTAATTTTTTCTCTAGCTACATTCTATTGCTCGAGGAAAAGTAATAGCTTAAGTTTTAGGGTGTGATAACCCCATAAAAAGACTCTATTTCTAGTCTTTTTACTTAAGTTATTGCTCGTCTAAACAAAGTATGCACATCATATTAGTTGCATTTAGGTTATATTTTTTTGTGGTGGATAAGTGTTATTTAGGCAACATTTATTTGGTTTGACTGATGTTGTTGAGGAGAAAGGGATTGTGTGGATTATGTATGTGTAGGAAATTAGATAAGGAAAAACATTTTAGTCACGACAAAGTATTTCGCAAGGGGCGGTGGAATAGAGAAGTTAAAGACAGTGAGGAGTAGATTTATCTCGCCAAGGCAAGGTTTATCTTGCAAATCTGATGCGGATAAGATGAATTACCTACGTCACATGCCAGTTGTACAACTACCCTCACGTGCAATCAAGCCCTCAAGATTCTGACAATAACTAACCACCTTTCCTTTTTTTGCATGGATAAGAAAATAACAGGTATTTAGGGAATCTTCACTTACGTGAAACCCTAGGAGATTTCCCTTTATAAACACCCAGACACAGTCGCGAAAAAGAGAGGCAAGGAAGAAAGAATAGCTTTAACTGAAGCGTGAGTGAGCAACTGTAGTACTTCCCCATCTTTTTCCAACCGACCGTCCTTGGTGTATTTCATAGCCAGGCTATAGCAGAGCGATGGTTAGGCCTCGAGAGAGGCTGACTGCCAGGGAAGGTGCGGTGTTGATCAGAGATGTCACGATAGAGCCCTCAGTTTTGGGAGTCCTTCTTCCTTTGTTCTTAATTTATTTACTTTTCTTGGGGTTATATTAAAACGATGATACTTTGGTTGACTTTTTGACAACACCATGAACTACTTTACTTGGTATTAATCTTTGTTTTGCCGAAACAATTATTTTCTATTTTATGAATGATGAATTATGATTTTGCTAATGACTGCTCTGTTCATTGTTTAAATATTTTTGCCTTGACAATGTAAGAGCTTTGAGAGATTGCGTGGGGTCTAAGTGAAACAGGTCTTGACACTGTAAGATCTTCGAGAGATTGCCATTTGTCTGGATATTGATTATTAGATTCGAGAGAATTAAGATAGATCTTCTTGAACAATGGAATGGATCCAGGATGGTGGTGTTCTAACCTATCTACCTCAGAGATAAGGAGAGGGTTTCAATCGACTATAAGGGATAAACGCTAGAGTATGATAGACAACGATTATAGTTTACACTAAGAGGTATTGTTACAACAACAGTCTGACAAACCAAGGGTTGTAGTTAACGCTGAGTAGTATTGCCATAACAACCGTTGAAGAATACTCAGTAATCCTGTCGGGAAACTTAAGCATATCATAACAATTCATTCTAGACTTAGAATAATTGCTTGTCTTAACAAAAGATTAGCATGAGTGTTCTCTGAAAAGTCTAAATATGTGAGGTTGTTTTGAATATATTTAAATAAACGCTTGTCTTTGCTTTATTTATATTAATTCGATAGTTTTACATATTTATTTTGTCTCAACAAAACTTTTCTGCAACCATACTTTATAATATTTTTTTCTTTATTTTATTACTAATAATTTTGTAGTTTGACAAGACTTTAGGAATTAGCTTGTGACAACTAGTTCTGGTTGTGGTGAAACTTAAAAAGAACGACCAATCCCTGAGGAGAGGATAACTCTTTACCCTTTACTACTTGATTCGATTATGTATACTTGCACATAATTTCTTGTCTTAGCATATACATTTCCAAGTGATCAACAACCACTTCTTCTTTAGTCATTTTTCTCACAACTGTTTTTGGGAAAAGTAAATTTTTCTCTCAATCGGGTGAACTAGTTGAGGTCGGGACGTGTTTTCATAGAGGCTTACAATTCGAACCGTTCGTGATCACCATTAGTCGCTGTTGTCTTTACTATTGTTCAAGGAACCCATTGTAAGTATTTGCATCATTTCTTCCCAATTTTGGTTTTCGTACTTGGATCGCTGGTGAGACCGTTGAGTTTTGTTTCCGTTGCGCCATGGAGTGCGATCCAAATTCAAGTTAACTTCTTGGTTGATGCGATATGTATGAGATGCATGTTCTAGTTTTATCATTTTCGGCGAATATGTATAATATTATTATTTGATTCAATAACCGTAATGTTTAATATGTTAATTTGATAATCTATTTTTTACAATTTGTTTGTCACTGCTGGATTTTACGAAATCCATGTCAATTATTGAAATGATGATTCGTAGGTGTGCTATAGCAGATCGCGTTTGGCAGTGGAACAATGGTTGTTCTGATGCAGAAAACCTTTGGGATTGAAAATCCAAAAAATGATTCTGTTGATAAGTGTTATTAAATCATGAGGTTTTTATATAGAAACGGAAGTACTATTTTTTCAAAAAAATCCCACCAGTCGTCGCCCCTTGACCCTTCATGAGCAATATAGATTGTAGGCCCATATTAATATTTTTATCAAAGGTGTAACAATGTGTATATATATGATATGTTTATTTTGCAAGGTGTTTGACATGCATGGTTATAGCCCTTGTTCAATTTACAATGGTTGAATTTGAAATACGGCATGAGAGTGGTGTCTTTCTATATCTCAGTTGTATTTCTCTTCTCATCTTACTCCCTCGTATGTAAAACAAGTTTCTTTTAAAATTGTAATCCTATGAAGATTCACAAGGAGCAAAAGAACAGACTGAACTAAAGGATAAAAGATACCTAGATAGTAGTCTTAGGTTTTCGGGTTTTTGGTTCTCCCATTAGCTTGGGATGGGCCACCTTAGTTATTATTTTTGGGCTATAAACATTGATTCTTATTTATTTCTATATCCATTATGTATGCAATGCATCAAATGATAAAATAAGAATGAATATTGATGAGATCAATAAGGGTGAATATTGATAAGATCAATAAGGGTCTAATATTAAACGAACAATGATGAGATAATTATGCAAATCCCTCTTTATAATCTAAGTTAACTCAACCGTCCAATATTTACCCTCGTTAAGGCTTCGATCGATATTGTGTGGGCTTTGCCAAAGCATTGGCTCATAAATCTATCTTGGTTAAACGCGAAGAATAAGCAAGTGATATTCAACAGTTGGGATATTTGTAATAATTTAGCTAGGTTATTTAAATAGGATTAGAAACATATAGGTTAAGTATTTGGATAAGTCATGATATGATTTGAACAAAAGTTGTTCACCAAAAGGATGAATTACATGAGATGTAACTAGTAAAGTGTTACTTACCTAAATAATCACTATCCTAAAATAAAAGCCAAAGTTGATTTAGGAAATTGATGTATTATGGATCCTCACCCACAGCCAATTTGTCTTTAATTTCAACATGAATGAAATTAACAAGACCTTGCCGCAGTTACTTGGCATGTTACGAACTGTTGAAAGTAACATGAAAAGGTTGGACATAAGCCCATTCTGATGGTCCACAAGG